CACCTGATCCTGGATAATTTATAAGACTTCCAAGACAACATGGCTAATGGTAGTTTCTAGTCCAAATCTGGAAAACTCCAGTGGGGAAAGCTCCACAATCCTTCCCATACAATTTCCTTGTATGTTTTTGTTGAGTATGATACATAACTAAACTATTTAAATCTTCAGCAATGATTTTGGTAGAACATTCAATGTTTCAGAACAGAAGCATCACCCTATGTAATTCTTACAACTCAAAAGCTCAAAGCAATCATTCTATTCTTCCCCTATTCAGGAATTGTAAACCAATGCAACGACAACAGCCGTCTACATATTAAAGTAGCTGTGTGTTTGTTTTTTAAAAATACAACTAGGGCAGGGGTGTCAAACTGCCGGCCCGTGGGCCAGACACGTCACACAGAAGCTGCCCCCACCCCATTGCCAGCAATGGCAAAACTGTCACATGACGTCGCGAGTTTGACATGTCTGAACTAGGGGAATTGATTTTATCCTATATATATTTTGTTTTAATTTTTATTGTTGTGTAGGCATACTTCCTGAAGGTAACATCAAAAGAGCTTTTTTCCCATCTGTTCCTATGCATAAGCCTATATATCATAAAAGCATATGGCAAATATTTGTCACTCTTAACTTTTCTCTTACTGAAGATCGATGATTCATTAACATTTAAAAAGAAGCCATATAATGCTATCATTATCGCTAGTTTGCAAACAAGAATAGTCCAACGCTCCGTTCCAAATAGGAAATTCTACCCACAATCTTCTTCCACGCTCATTCTCTGGCACCTGGTATTTGGAAGCATGCTGGCTGACCCTGGAGATAATCACAATTGACAGCTATTATAACCAATGGCGTCCATCTGCCAACTTCTCCAAAATCTCTGCTGGTAGCCTGGAGAATTCTCTTGAGCAGTTTTTTGTTTTTTTTTAAGGGGGGAAGGGAGAGATTCTCTTGCATGATCAGAAATCCTTTTGTAGAAAACTGATTCCAGCCCTCTAAATCCTTCATGAATTGATTTAGTCCTTTACTAAAGTCATTATACCTCAAGGAAGTAAATTCTATATGTTCACCATAAGCAGAGAAAAGACATGTCTGATCCATCAAATTCAAGTGCTCATGTGTGATTAAACTGATCTAAACTCTGTGAAACGCTGTAAGTGTATAATAACGTTCAATCTTTTAACTTGACTTGTTTATAAAGATCGGATTAGCACAGACACTGGAATACATTTGCTTCACGTAAATAATCACGACCTTACAAGGCATTAAGATATATTTAAGACGTGTGTGATTTTTCTTGCTAAAACAACCTTGATCAAGTTTAAAAAAAAACTCTGAACAAACCATGCATCCGTGTCCATTATTGCAGAAAGCTGTGGCACTAATGCTCAACAGAGGCTCTAGTATCTCAGACATTACTTTAAGTGAATTGTATTGGCATATTTGAAATAATTCTGTTCACAATCTCAACTCCTGACCTTTTAAATTTTATTTTCCTTTACTTGAAAAAGTGCTGAAATTTCACTGAAAGGATCTACTCAGGTCAGTAAACACAGAAGATAATAGGATCAGGAGAATGACACTCCTGTTTACATGTAGCTAATGCCTTTTATAACTACCTAGTAGTTGGTGTGGGCAAAAAAAGCTGTCTCCTATTCTGGCTGCATCTTGTGAAAACTGAACTTGGGGTTCAAAAGTTAAACTGAAGCTAAATTTTGCGTGAAGAAAATTAAGACAAAAGCTCCTCAGTTCTGCCATTCTGATTTCCAAGTATTAATGAACAGATTAAAGTTTCTGCCCCATCTTGGTCACAAATCTAGGAAATGGGTTTTTTTTAAAAAGTAAATGACATTGGCAAGTCATAGTAGTCATTTCAGACTCAGTTCTGCATTTTTTTTTATCTGTTTGTATCTTATAAGAAAAATATGTAAGTCAAACCAAAAGTTCAAGGTGGTTCCTGAGACAAAGGGACATGGTAAGAACAATCATTTCAGAGAAAATGTCCTATTCAAAAGGCCCAAACTATTGTGGTAACTCTTTTACTATATTGCCATGTTGCTTTCTCCAACATTAATTCAAAGGCCATGTAAGATATAGAGAAATCATGAAAATTACTTTGGTATGAAATACCCCAGAGCTCTAGAGCAGGGGTCCTCAACCTTGGCAAATTTTAAGACTTGTGGACTTCAATTCCCAGAATTCCTCAGCCAGCCAGGGCTGGCTGAGGAATTCTGGGAGTTGAAGTCCACAAGTCTTAAAGTTGCTACGGTTGAGGACCCCTGCTCTAGACCCTAACTTAGTTATGCAATCAGATCAAATCCTGGAAGGAAACATCAGACCAAACAGCAACAAGAGCCATTCAGATCAAACTGCATCTTTTAAGTTTATACAACAAAAGCTTCATTTCCACTACAATTTTCTTCTATCCTGCCTAAAAGAATTAATGTTAAGGATTACAAATGAAGCTTTAGTTCTTAGCTTGTCATTAGTATCAAAACAAAAGAATGCCCATGATGCTCTGTCTAAATGCAATATGAAAATAAAAATTGTTAGATAAAAGCAAAGCAAAGAATAGGTCATAATCGTGTTTCCTTTAGTTATAAATGTTAAGCTTTATCTGTCTGTTGTGTCTAAAACACCTTTTAAGTAGGACATTACATGGACAGAAGCAGGTCAAGTTATCTTGGGACAATTTCCAAACATTATATAATTTAAACATTTACCCTGTGACTTTTTATCCAGGCTTCCCTACACTGGCATGACCAGATGCAGCGATCCTATAATTTTCAGAATTCATAGGAAAGTCTAGGAGATACAACTGATAAATGCAACATTGTAAAGGTTAGTTTGCTTTCTCTAGCACTTATAAAAGCACATTTAATCAAAAGCACATGAACTAAACCATTTTTCTCAGATCCATTGCCCATTCGGTACCTGCTTTGGATTAACGTTTACCTTAATTTTAATAGGTGAATCTATATAAATCCAGCATAACTGACTATCTTCCAAGAATGTAACATTATCATATTGGCAAACTGCTTTCAATATTAATGTAAACTGAAATGTAAAAGTAATAAAGACATTTAACTTGGCTGTTTTTTCTCATATAAAAGCAATTATTAAAATGATGGCAACAGAATGTAACAGACCTTCAAATCACTAGTTGCATCACTCATAGAATGTAATAATAGTGTCACTGACACCTGGTGCTTTAATTATCCTCTACAGAAAAGTTTTATTATGCCAGAATGAACATGTTCAAAACTAATCAGGAAGATTATTAATCAAAATCACTTGTTGAGATGGGCGCTATAGAAATCAAATACACAACCCTTTATTTCAAAATAAAATACAGTTCTATTATTAAGTCCATATCATATATATCACGAAAAATTCACAACACGGTTCCTTTAATCAAACTACCCTCTGATATGGAAAGTGAAAGCTTTCCGGTTTTCCAGGGGCTTTTATCTGGTCCACTAATAAACATAGACAGAAAAGTAGTCTCTGAAGTTGAAACCCTGCAGGAAGAGGTAGGAAGAGGCTGTCAATTTACAGTCCTTTTTCCAAACAATTTGAAGTTGCAAAAAAAATTAGAGCAAGGTTTTATACTGCCCACCATATATTTATACACTGCAGAAAAAATGCATTCCTGTATTAATTTATATGGGAAAGCAATTTATATGGGAAAGCATCTTTTAGGGAAAAATCTACCCTAAATAAATTTAAATATTAAGACATATGGCTTACTACTTTCTCAAAACTAAAGACAATTTAGGTACACTGTCCCTGAACTTTCCCAGAAACTACACATTCACCATGATTTTCTATGAGTTTACATGGCAAGACACAAAACCAGAAATAGCTCAGCAATTTTTAGGATGAATTACATCTACCTTTAAGCTGTATGTTTGATTGTAACCTGCATGTAATAATATGCAGCAGGACAATTTAAGTCGTAATTTTATATTTTGCATTGGTGTATTTCATGTTTCCCTTCTACTTTTTAGAAACCATAGCAGCAGCATCAAAACTTCAGTACTGGCTCACTTTTGCAATGTCTGTTGAAATCTAATTCCCACTGGATAATGTGCTATTGTTTTAGTGACTAAACAGAGAACAGGTTTAAGTTAAAATACCGTAGTAGTAGTAGTAGTATGAATCACCCAGATGACTTTTTTTTTCCATCTAATATTTACAGCAGTTCTACTTGGATACAAATACCATCAAAAACGAAGAACATATGTACTAAAAAGACTCCGAGGTTTTGTTTAAAAGGGGCTACTCCTGGGTAAAGCCCGCAAAACTAAAAGGCTCAACATAAAAACACAACCCCACAGCCTACCCTTTTGTTCAGAAACAAAACTGATTTTCATACATCGCACAGATGCACTTCTATTAGTGTACATCCAGCACTGACGAACACACACTTATGTTTAATGGGGATCTCGCAGGGAAAGGAGGGCAGCGTATGAATTACCTCATTCAACCATGATTGGGGGGGGGGGGAAGAGAGAGAAAGATTGTGACTTTAATCAAACTCCTTCAACTTGGATGGGTATATCCGAGTGTGAAGCGGAGGGCTGCGAAAAAGCAAAATGGGGGCGCGTGTTTATAAAGAGGGGGGGGTAATTTTTAGGGTTGCCAGGTGTCCACTATTGGAGTGGACAGTCCGCTTTTTTCACATGATGTTCACTATTTTTTTTTCACAAAATAGGGGACATTTTTTTTTTATTCAAAAGCTTTACGATGAAATGGTACGTAATCTAAAGCTGTACAGTCTACTTTTTTTTACTACTTAAACCCACCCACCCCGGCTTGTCCGCTATTTTTTGGAAGCAGACCTGGCAACCTTAGTGATTTTAAAAAGGGGGCTGCCTCTTGAGGGACGCCCGATGCCCCACATGGGGATTGTATACAGGTCCCCAAAAGCGGGGGAAAGGGGGGAACCCCCCAACCCCGCAGGGAGCCGGGGGGGCCGTGGCTGGCAGGCTACCGACCTGTCCTCGGAGTCCATGCGGCTCAGCGGCTCCCCGTCCGAGGAGATTTCCAGGCTGCCCCTGCGGCCGCCCGACGTGGCACTGCAGGAGCTGCTGCCGCCCCCGCCGCCGCTCCCCGTGCCGTAGCCCTCGTCGGCCCCCGCCGACACCACGACGCCGCCGCCGCCCGCGTCCCCCTCGGACGCCGCCGCCGCCGCCAACGCCGCTTGTGGTGCTGCTGCCGCTGCCGCCGCTTCACTGGAGTCCCCCCCGCCGCCGCCGCCGCCGGAGCCGTCAGGCCCTCCGCCCGCGCCCACGTCGGCCCCGCCCGAGCCGCCCTTGACGTCGGCCTCGCTGCCGCCGGGGCTGAGCGAGCGGGCGTCGTCGGTGCAGCAGCCGCTGGAGGAGCCGGAGCTGCTGCCGGCCTCGGCCTCTTCTTCCTCCTCGTCGTCGTCCTCCTCCTCCTCGTCCTCCTCGGCGTCTTCGTCCTCCTCGTCCTCGTCGTCTTCCTCCTCGTCGTCGCCGTCCTCCTCCTCTTCGTCGTCGCCGTCTCCGGCCTGGCTGGCGCTCTCCGGGCTGGGCTCCGACATGCTTTCCGCCCCTTCGCCGTTCAGCGCCGGTGGGGGCGGCTCGGCCTCAACTCCCGCCGCAGAGGTGGAGGAGGAAGAGGAGGAGGGGGAGGAGGAGGAGGAGGCGGCTTCGCTCTCGGCCGCCTCTTCGGTAGCGCCTCCGCCTGAGGGCGAGGAGGAGGAGGAGGAAGAGGAGGAGGAAGGCGGAAGCGGCGGCGGCGGCGCGACCGCGGGCGGCTCCGCCATGTCGCTCAGCTCGGCCGCCATGACGTCTGGGAGTCGCCGCGCCGCTCCTGCCCTGGGAGACTCAGTCCAGTGCGCGCACGTGTACGTGCGGGCGGGGAGGAGGAGCCTGGGCCGACGAGGGGGCGTGGCTTTCTCTGCGGTTGCGGTTGCAGCTGTGTGTGTGGTATGGCGTCCGCCTGCAGACAAAAGGGTTAGATTTAGAAGGACTCGCGGATCAAAGGAAGGGAGCGCATGCGTGCATGTATGCTGCCGGCCTGGCCGCCCTAAAACCGGTGCTTCTCAGTCTCGGAAACTCAACCGATATGGACTTCAATTCCCAGAATCCCTTAGCCAGACATTGGGAGTTGAGGTCCACGCCTTTTAAAGTGGACCCGATTGATTAAACACAACCAATCAGTCTTCAAATAAGGAAAAAATGATTGCTCTCTTCAAGTGATTATTACAAAGCAGAAACTCTCATGGTTTGGATATGTGATACAAGGAGTTGATAGACTAGACCAGGGGTAGGCAACCTTGGCTCTTTTATGACTCGTGGACTACAACTCCCAGAATTCCTGAGCCAGCTTGGCTGGCTCAGGAATTCTGGGAGTTGAAGTCCACGAGTCATAAAAGAGCCAAGGTTGCCTACCCCTGGACTAGACCAAATGACTATGTTTGAAGGAGCAGAAGATGATGGATAATTTGATGGATGAGATCAGGGTAGTTATAGGAGGTAAGTAGAGTAACTATAGGAGTAAATTATGGAAGGGAAGACCTGCAATTTATTATTATAATAGAGCAAGATGAGAAATATTTGACAGTGAAATCTAGCTTCCAAAAACATATTTGGGTATCCCAGAAGTTCAAATTAGTATGAAGCATATGAGGAGATGTGAAGAAGCAAGGCCAAAGGGGGAGAAAAAAATCGAACACAGGGTTGTACATTTGTTGGTTTATAATTTAGTTTTCTAAAGCTTCCCAACTCAACAAAGTCTAGGCAACTTACAAATTGCCTAGTACAATCTTCTGAACATGGGTAGCCCCATCTTTCTCAAATAATATTTATAGCCCTATATAGGTAGTCCTCAACTTACAGCCATTCATTTAGTGACCCTTGGAAATTACAGAGGCACTGAAAAAAGGGACTTATGGCTGGCTTTCACACCTACAACCATTGTAGTGTTAGAGTATGCTGCAACACCTAGGACAGGGGTAGGCAACCTTGGTTCTTTTATGACTTGTGGACTTCAACTCCCAGAATTCCTGAGCCAGCCATGCTGAGGGGAAAGGGAGAGGTTTCCATGCTTAGCCATGCTGGCTCAGGAATTCTGGGAGCTGAAGTCCACGAGCCATAAAAGAGCCAAGGTTGCCTACCCCTGGTCTAGTGGTTAAGGCACCATGCTAGAAAGCAGGAGAGCTTGACCATGAAAGCCTTAACCATGAAAGCCAGCTAGGTGACTGGGCCAATCCCTCTCTTTCTCAGCCAAACCCACCTCACAGGATTGTTGTTGTGAGGAAAATAGGAGGAAAAAGGTGTGTTGGATACTGTATGTTTGCCACCTTGAGTTATTTGTAAAAATAATAAAGATAAGATACGAAAGAAAGAAAAGGAAAGAAAGAGAAAGAAAGAAGAAGAAAGAAAGAAGAAAGGAAGAAAGAAAGAAAGAAAAAGAAAGAAAGAAAGAAAAAGAAAAAGAAAGAAAGAAAGAAAGAGAAAGAAAGAAAGAAAGAAAAAGAAAAAGAAAGAAAGAAAGAAAGAAAGAAAGAAAGAAAGAAAGAAAGAGAAAGAAAGAAAATTGGGCCTGCATTTCTTCCTGGGTCAACAGTGCTCTGCAGTTCCCAGACATGGTCAGCAAGTACCCCAAGTCCTCTGTGTTGGAGTTAATGTGGGATCTGTGACAGAACTCTTTCGTCAGCTCCTGAAGCCCCTGGCTGAAGTTAGCGTCCCACCACACACACACACAAACACACAAACACACACACACACACACACACACACACACTCCTTTCTATTGTGCCTTTTCCCAAAGCTTTTGCAAAGTGCCCCTTCTAGGACCCCATCTGCATTCCTATGGCATCAAGGCATGCCAGCTTTCATTTCTCAAACTCTGGGGGACAATCGTAAACCGCAGGAGAACAAAAGCTGGAGGGGGAGGGGGCAAACTGCTGGAAAGCAGCAGCTGCCTAGCTTTAAAAAAAAACAAAACTCAAAGCTTAGGGCCCCTTCGCGTTCTCTGCTCTCCCCCCCCCCCCAACCTCCAGAGTTTTTCCAGCCTTTGCTTCAAACTCTCTAATCCACTTGGTGCACAAACTGGAAATGAGCTGAGGTTGAATTACTTTTGGGTGAGAGCAACCAGCACTAATTTAAACAAGTCTCTCTCTCCCCAAACACACACACACACACACACACACACACACATTCTCTCCCCCCCCTCCGGTTTTCCAGAGCCAAATCTAGAACTTTCTGGAGAGATGATTTAGAAAACCAAATTTTTTCAGCCTGGAATGTTCTTTCCCTCCCAATATGTCTACACGGAGCAAATTCATTTAGTTTGGTGAGAAAGGGTTAGGGTTTGGAGGTTAGGGTCTTGGTAAGAACAAAGCTGGCAAATAAAACAGTCTGGGGGTATCATCTCTGTTTCTCATCTGCCAGAAGGAACAAATGTTCCTTTTGCCATGGGGCTCTGTTTTGAACTAAGGATTTGTCCCCAACAGACAAAAATGAAATCTTATTCCGGTTCATAGCCCAGTCCTGTACAAAATTCTGACCTATGTTTTTGTGTGTGTCTCTCTCAATATTTTTGTCAGAGTCTTCTAAACTTTGTGGGGAACAAGGTCTCCAGGTGAATTAAGTGAAGCCCCACATATATTAAATGTCCTTTCCGTTCTATAAATCTTTCCCAGGTGAGTCAGGAAATGAACTAGTTTGCACAATTACCCCACAACTGTAGTCTTTAGTGTTCTCTTAGTGCACTGATGTTACTAATAAGGTGATCAATCGTCCTCCTTTAGGGAGGACAGTCCTTCTTTTGTAAGTTCTGTCCTCTCTCAAAAAGTGTCCTCCTACGTGTCCTCCTTTTCGATATTTGAAGACTAATCTGTAAATCTCCGTATTCGATCGATGCCGATCTGATCTGTTGCGTGTGATGTGACGTATTTGTGTTTGACAAGACGATTCGTCAAGGCTCGGTACAATGTGGCGAGACGCGATTATGAGACGCATAATTGTTTTGAGTGCGCCAGGCACAAGAGTGTGCCGCACACAAGTGGCTTTGTTTACTTCTTACCGAAACACAACACGGCACACACACAGGCATTAGACTCACTTTTTTTCTTCAATTTATTTGTGTCCTCCTCCTCATTGTAAAAAAGTTGGTCAACTTATTACTAATGAAACATTAGTTATGTCATGAAACATCTGCCACCAAACAACTAAGCTCAGAGAGCACCAAGGACCTTACAGTTCAACCCTGAGTTACATATATTCTCTTCTATCGTAAGCCACAAGTTTTTAAATCTTGGTTTGTTAACCAAGTCAATGTACCCTTGACTGTATTGCATCAAGTCAAAAAACATTTCAATGAGTGACATAGCAGCATGCTGAACTGATATTGATTTCAGAATCAATCTAAATCTAGGTTCCAATCAAAATCTTAAGTTTGGAGAAGGAATATTAGTGCAAAACAACTATTTTACTCCTGTTTTACTTCTTTGGAATTGCTTATTTATTGGCTTCTCTTTTTTCACATAGTACTATCTGCCTTGTTAAGGTTCCTTATATGGTTCCTATTCTCTTATAAAGTTCCTTATGAATTCAGGTGTTTGCAGAGCAGGTGTAAATGTAACTGTTAGTGTCACAGGGCTACATGGAGTAAATTTATTTTCCAGAGAATTTTTGTTTTCTCCTTTTTCTTATCCAACACTCAGTCATTAATTGAGTGTTACCAAATTCTATGCAACATCAGGTCAGACATGATATCACATGCCCTTACAAAAGTATTGGAAGTTTTTAGATGTCTTTCTGTGATAGTATGCTATGTTTTCTCTAGTTTTTGTTTGCCCCATGTTAGAGGTTGCTGGCATTAAAGAGCAACTACAGACAAGTAATGAGAAGGAAGGACTCACTGGAGAAGGGCCTGATGCTGGGAAAGATTGAAGGCAATAGAAGAAGGGGACGACAGAGAATGAGGTGGCTGGATGGAGTCACTGAAGCAATAGGCGTGAACTTCAATGGACTCCAGAAGATGGTAGAGGACAGGAAGGCCTGGAGGAACGTTGTCCATGAGGTCACGATGGGCCAGACACGACTTCGCAACTAACAACAACAACAGACAAGTAAATAAAATGCTACTTTACTTTAACTTCTGGACTTGGAAAAAGTGTGGTGCAGGCATCTCATGATCGAAACAAGGGAAATGAAGCTTTTTTAAAAAACTAAAAATGTTACAATCGAACAGGACAAAGACATAGGAAAATCAAATCATTATCCCACTGGATTCATTCAGCAAGTGCATCTCTTTGGCTGAGTTACTCAATATCCTAGTCTAGAGTAAAGTGGACTTTATTACTTGGTGTGAATTCAGCCATAGGGGAGTACAGGGGAAATCCTTGCACTGTCCTGGACTTCAAATTTTGATGTCAAGCTCTTGGCAAACAATTTTAATATAAACCAAGATTTTTTCAGAGTTTTCTTTTGACAAGATTTATTGAAAGGGAGAGGTTACAGAAATCCCAGTAGTTTGACCTTGGTGACTGAGGAAGGATTCAAGCCACAGATGTTGGAAGAGAAGACAGCATCCATAATGATAACTCCAACCCTTTTTATGTGTCCCCCTTGTAGATGACCTCATTTAAATCACTCTCCCCAATCTTAGGTAAACTAAATATAATCCTGTTCTCGTAGCTAAACCTTTAAATTAAAGAAAAAAATGCTTGGCGTCAGGCTGACAGAACTAAATATTTGAGAAACCTTTGTTATCACTTGACAAGCACCTTGCTTAGCAACAGAAATTCTGGTCCCGATTGTGATCATAAGTTGAGGA